AACAAAAAACAATTGAGAAATTTTTCAAGGTCACAGCAGATCTTTTATTATAGCAGTAGTCCATGTGATTTTTGTTTGACTTGCCCACTCACCTATTCAACTTTTATTTATGCATCAAATACCTTTGGAGCAATTTGTATATTGAGTATGTGTTCTTATAAGAATAGCGAAGGTCATTTATAAAGTCACAATATCTCTGTTCTTTCCAGGTTTTCTGTTGCTGACACCCGCAATTTAGAGGAAAAAAAGGATTCTTTTGGCTCACAGTTTCCGTGGGTGCCCCCGTGGTTGGTTCGCTCTGAGGCACAAAAGGCACAGTACGAGGGCCTGGCAAGGGAGAGCTTTCCATGCCATGGCGGCCTGGAAGCGTAGGGACTGGAGGAGCCTGGGCTTAGAAGACACTCTGAGAGGGCCTGTTTCAAGGACCTGCTCCTTCCCACGAGGCCCAATCTCTGAATGTGAGACTTTGGGGAACAATTTAGATCTAATCCATAACAATTCCTGTGTGCAAGAAGCTTAAAGTCAGTAGGACCAGTGCAATAACTACACATATGAATATAGAGAATACCCTGAAATTCATACTGTAGAAGTTTGTGGGTTTGGAGTTTCAGAAGCTTAAGGTATGCTAGAAATTATGCAGCCTAATTTCTCATACAGCACAAATACCTTAATATCTGGTATCCTGAGACATTTTTTAGGATTCTTAAAATATACATGTATATGACTTAGTTACTCTTCCTTGTTCTTGAGAAAACCATACCCAATGCCCAAAGTTAAAATAGGAAAGGTTTATTTGGTTCACAATTTGAAGAGCTTTCAGCCCATGGTTGACTGGCCCAGGGAGGTTGCAGGGAACAGAGCCATTGCAGGGGAGAAATAGTCCATGGCAGGCAGAAGGCAGCAAAAGCAAGCAGGCAGGGGAGAGCGCATTAGCACTCATCCTGCCCCTTTCATTTTATGTATGTGGACTGCACACCCTAGGGTGGGACAGGCACTCACACCCTTAGTCCTATGCAAAACTGTACCCAACCAGCCCAT